ATTTTAATAAAAACTCATTCAAATAGGGATTATTATCTCCATTTCACAGACAAGAAAGCTGAGCTTGTGAAGGGTTAAATTGTTTGTGAAAATTTCAGTTGTGAAGGAGCCCTCATTCAAACGCTTGATACGCAAACTACTTGATTGCAAAGCCCACAGTACCGCACAGCTTCCTCACCAATGAAGCTAAAGACATAAATCATTGAATAAAAGACATCATGTGCACAGACCCATTTTATGTTTAGGTTAAAAACCTAATGCCGTGGCCCGTTTCTTGGGGCCAAGGAATGAACACAGAGACAAAAAGACACAGACACACATAAAGACAGTACACGACTGCAGCCACTACAAAGAGACACAGACACACAAGGACAGTATAAGACTGCAGCAAACTTCTTGCTGTAGTTTCTTTATTTATAACACAGCCTGTTTGGCAACTGTCCCACCGCAATTTCTTTGTTCCCACACTGTCCTGACTCAACACGTCCCTGTTCCTTGTTGTTTCATCTCCGGCTAGCTGATGTTTTCATCCTGAACTCTCTAGCCTTTACTGCTTTCAGCCCTGGACTCATGTTCAAGCCCCAGGCATATTCTTGAGAAAAACAACAAGGAAACATTCCCAGACAAAGTGTCCTCTACAACCTAAGCTGATTCTTGACAGCCTGCTGTTAATACAAAAGCTTTTTATCATCAATCATCTTGAAAGAATGGAACTGGAGCAATATTTAATCTCAGCATTTGTTCTAACAATATAGCAACATAGAACTTTAAATAAACTAGTGCCGTAAGTAAATTAAGTCAATATTTAAAGAAACATTTAAATAATATGTAAAACACATTTTGTAGGTGTCCAGAAACAGACCTACTGAGAATGATCAAGAGGAAAATTCACAGGGAAGGCCCTTTAAAGACTGTCTTGCCAGGCTCTTCAGCTGGATAATGGGAATAAGCCACTGTGAACACCTTCAATTAAGGCAATAAACGTATGTGCGCTGGAGCGCACTGGTGTGGAGTTGGGTTGCAAAGCTAAGGCAAATACAGAAAAACATGTCCTTCTGTGCAGGTTTCCCTCAGGACCAAAAGGGATCTAGGAACTAGAGCTTGTCATTGTTGTTATTTTTATTATGATTAATCTTTCAAATACCTTTTATTTTTCACTCAATGGGAATTGAGCATTCCTTAACAAGCTGTTAATCATGGCTGGGTTTTTTTGTTTGTTTTCCTATAGCTGTAATTCTGAACATTTCCCTGGAGTTCTTTTTTTGCATTTTCCCCTATTTTTTTTAAAGGAAAATGGTAAGTGGCAGATCTTGTCAGGTGACCAGTCATCACCGAGGTTTTATGTCATAAATATATGACAGTTTTGTTTTAAATAACACTTTTTACAATTATAGAGTATAATTCCTATAAGTGGAGATATAGAATGAATATTAGAGTAGAACTTAGAGTTTTTAAAATAGACTCTAGAATTTACCAAATTTAAGAATCCAAAACAACTTTTCAGAAAAAAAGTGCTTGTTTTCCCATGGAACACCTGCACTCAAGGACTAGACTCAGTATTTTGCTCACTGGTTTGCTGTGGACTTGATGAACATTTTCTAATGGATAAGTCGTGTAGCATGTTCTAACCTTCAGCTATTTAATATTTGGACTCAAGCTTTGTCATCTTCACTATAAACCTCTCTATGTGTGATTGTGGAAAGTACCAGGAAGTGTGCTGATAAATTATACAACCACTTTCTCATTGTGACTCAGAATTAAACTTTTGTGCTTGAATTTTTTGGGTTGCCTATTGCATGTTTGCACTAGCATCTGCTAATAAATTTTGGTAGTGAATATTAAGAATTCAGCCAGATTAAAAAGAGAAACCCTTTGTCAGCTAGTTTGCTTCATAGGCCATTTCTTAAGGTAAGTGATCTGAAAATATTAAATGCAATTCTGGTTTTTTATATTACTGAGAAAAATGCTGATGGGGAAGCGAACAATGTCATAGCTTCCTGCATGGGAATTATGCCATCTACATGTTTCAAATTATGCAATTACATACCTTGCTAATGTAAGTTGTGTAATACGAAATTGTAGAGTCATGTAGATGGGAAGGACGTTAAATAATTATCTTGTCCCTTCTCTAGATTCAGAGAAAATCACCCCTGTGCTAGAAGACAATTGATCTTATTTTTTTAAAGCCTACTGAAATAAATAATCCATCTCCTTCATTTATGATATAGGTTCGTTTGCTCTCAGACCGTGAAGTAAATGAACAGGAGGTCCCTATCCTCTCTGTGTACTCTTTTCATGCGCTTAGAAGCTCTGATTAAATTTCCCCTTAATTTTTCTCTTCCCTATGCAGTCACTTCGGTGTCTTATTTTCATGTGTTTATCTCTCTGCTAACCACGACCACCTTAAAATGATGAGCCTGGAGAAGGAGCCTTCTAATTCCAGTCAAATAGGAAAAATCATCTCATAGGTTAAAACTTAAATGTCGTGTGAAACGGAAAGAGTGCTAATTGGGGGGAAAAAAAACAGCAGGAGTTTTCCCCAGAACACTGGGATCTAAAAATGTAGTTAGTCTAGAAACAAACTGATACCCTTGTAGTTTAACTTGGTAATGACTTGGCGTGAAGAAAAGAATAATATGGTTTGGAATTTATGAGCAGTGAAAGGACGTGGCCACGGAAGCATATGATTGTAAATGTAAAGACCAAATTCCGGTATTTCCTCAATCTCAATAGCGAATAGCACACTTACGTGTTCTGGGCCTCATTATTAAGGTGTCTCAGACCATTATGTGCTGCTATAACAGAATACCACAGATGGGGTAATTTATAAGGAATAGAAATTTATTGGTTCACAATTCTGAAGGCTGGAATGTCCAAGATCGAGGGGCTGGCATCTGGAGGGGGCCTTCTTGTGGCCTCATTCCACGGTGGAAGAGCAAAGAGAGAGTGAGAAGAGAGAACAAGAGACAAAGGGGACTGAACGTGCCCTTTTATAATGACCCCACTCCTGAGATCGTGACATAAATTCATTCTTGAGGGCAGAGCCTGCATGACCCAATCACCTCTTATTAGGCCCCACCTTTCAACACTTGCATTGGGGATTAAGTTTCCAACACACTCAAGCCATAGCACACGGTGACCTTACATCTCTATGCGGGCAGTCCTGATTTAAACCTGTCGTCCTTGTGTATACACGGTCCAGCTTGCACTTGTATGCATGGTTTTTCTCTGCTTCTGTCAAGCTTTGCAGTGATCATCAGCAGGTTGTTTCTGATCACTTCTGTGCTTTTTAAAGATCTTTTAATATTTAATTCTACCTTCCAGGGTGATGGATGTCCCCTTAAGATCATCTTCAGCAAATTTAATGAGCCCTGTGGACCGTTCTTTATCTGGGTCAATGATAGGAATACAACAAGGCCCAGGCCAATGGCCTTTGGGACATCATCCCTTTCTTTTTTTTATAACTTCCTTTCTCTCTACTGCCCCTTCTTCTCCTGTTCTCTACCCACCAGTCGCTACTAACCGAGTCATGTTCAATTTCTATCTTAATATCTTTCCAGCAATTATTCTGTGCTAGGTCCTGTCCAGAGGTGTAACGCTTATGGCAGTTTTGTGCTGAAACACTCTATATCAAATTGTATTTTCTCGGTTCGCTGGTTTCAAGTCCCTGTGGGGCCACTGGAAATAAAACTGTGATGTATTATTTCCACAGTTCTTATGTTTTTTATTCAATCATAGTGCATTATATAACTCTGACAAGTCTTCTTTTTCCTAAAGTCATGCCTGTACTTTTGTAAGGAGAACTCAAGAAAACTTAGAGATGAGCTGCTGAATTTCCTGACATTTTTATTATGGATTTTTTAAAATAGGAAATTAAAGTTTCTAAGGTATTATCAGGCATTAGTGAAAAGGCCAGCATGTCCTGCTCACTACTGATTTTTACTAATATTGTTTTCCTCTGCTATTGAGTGGGTTAAGCCCAGAAAATAATGCCCTGAACTATAGTCAATGATATTCTCCTAGTGTGGAGACTTTATGCCTAAAGTCAATGAAAATGAATTTTAATTTCTTTGCACACAAATATGTTTTAACTAGTTAAAATACTTTAACTTGAAAAGAGCTACATGTACATTGAAAAATTTCATGGCATACATTCATTATATGAAATTCTATTAATGATATCATTGTATATGAAGAGCCACTACTCTTCATATGCAAAAACTACTACAAAAAACATTCAAAACAGATACTGTGATGGTAAAATCCATTTGTAATGTTGCTGTTATTTGTTGGGGCTGTCTTTCATGTTTGAGCTTGACATAATCCCATAGGTAGCATGATTAATTATGTAAATCAATTTTTCACCGCAGTATTTCAGCAGCTGTGACATGACCTGTTGCATGCCTTAATTTATTTAAATATTAACCCTTCCACAGGGGTTCTTTGTAAATAATTCCATTGCTATAAAAAAAAAAAAAAGGAAAAAGTCTCTGTAAAGAATTCTATGGTAGAGGTAAACAACAGGGATTGCAGTCTGGAGTCTGGATTCATGCACCGGAAATGAAGTGTTTAAGTAGATTTTTGTCAACTAGCAAATGCCATTTCAGTCTGAACTTTTCACCACTTCATTCTACACCATCTGTCTCACAGGGAGCAATTAATCTGAAACTCTAATATGCAGCATTAAAATTCCATTAACACTGAACAGAATATTAAGGTGTCTGGCATTGCCATTTCTATCTCTCCAAATTTCAGAGTTAATTTTGAATAAAGCAGGTATAACATTTTAATCTCTTTGGTTAATTAAGAATATTCAATAAAATGTATAATTAGCAGTTAAAATTATGTAATAATATGTAGAATTTAGTTTAAGAACGCTGTATGTTTTGGCAACTTAAACATACAGTATATGGGCTAATGATTATTTGTAAGAGCAGTAAATACTTTACAAAGCCAATTTTCCCAAGCCTCTCACTTTGTATTCTTTTTTCTCTTTGCAGAACCACATCACCGCCTTCGCGGAAGTCACATGATATTGAAGCAGATGGTTTTTCGCTGCATTGGACATCATCTCTTTTTACCATTCATTCATAACACCCAAAGTTTGTTCGATTATGAAAGTTTATAAAGTTGTCTAATAATTTTTATAATTTTAAAATCAACGTCAACCTATCTGTTTCCCCCACTAGACTGTGAGCTCCTCGAGGGCAGGACTGTGTCGTTTTTTCCATATCCCCAGCACCTACCACAAAGCCTAGCACAGAGTAGGTGTTCAATAAATATGTGATGATCGAATGAACAAATTAATTCTGAAATAAAACATTCATTTTAGTTTCTCACAGAATCACTGTACCTATGTTAAAAGAAACCACTACATGAATCATATTTGTATATGAAAACCCTCTATTTTGGGCTAGTTTTTTAATTTTTCATATATCTATTCAACAATATGCCATGTTTAATTTCAAGTGGACTTTGAAAGTCACGGGGGTTTTTATTTTATTATTCAGCATGACATTATTTCCATTCTAACAGATTTCAGTGTGTGAAATTACTTTACTTTTAGAAACTACTAAAATACTGTTTGCACATTATATTATGCTATATTTCACTTAAATATCATTCATACTATACATTCTAAGACTGGTGCTTCTGCTTTTGAAGGGGAAAATGCCAATTTTTACTGTAATAAGTAATGTATCATAATTAAAAATTATTTATTTGGACTTCTTCTCCTGACAATTGTGGTTTAATTGATGACTTGTAGATTCGAATGCAGGCAGTATTTTATTTAGGATAGTTCAAATGAGTAAATCTAACACTGGGACCTTAGTATTGAGTAATTTTCCATTGGTGACTGTGTCTCAAAAGTGGTCAAAGGCTCCATTCTGAGGCTTTTTTACTAGTCAATAGTCTGCCTAATTTAAATGGGAAAGAACCACACCCTGACCCATAATTTGAATTATATAAATGCTAAAAATATAGTTAATGTATTTTAGTTTGCATTTGTGTAGTACTTTATAGTTTCCAAAGCATTTCATTTAATCCTCATAATAGCCCACTGTAAACGTTAAGAGGATGGTTTTATTTTTGTAGATGAGAAAATGAAGCCAAGACAGGGTAAATAACATGCCTGATCCCTAACTAGTAAGAGGCATGGTTGAAACTTAAATTCAGGTTGTCCAAACCCAAACCCGTTTCCCTTTCAAATAAGCCACAGCTGCCGTGTTGTTTGGGACATGGAGGCCTTCCAGAGGCCAGTAGAGTCCTGGGCAACTGCCTATGGTTTAGAAAATGAAGAAATGCCAAAATAGAGTTATGAAAGCTGTGCTGTATTTTAAATGTTTATGTTTAACGAATGAACACTTTTTAAATAAGCAGATATATAGTAACCTGTTTATAAACCTTTTTAAAAATAATGAATGTCAAGAGTCTAGATGTGAAGCCCTTTGTAAGAGCAAAGCCTGAAGTCAGCCTCTCTCTGTCTTCGCCCCAGACCCCAGTCCCAACTCAGCAGGGGCCGAGGGGCTCACCTTACACTGAGCTTGTGGAATCAAGGATGGAAATTACCGTAATTCAAGGAAGATAGGCTCCTCAACAATCACTTTGCAGTCTTTAAAGCTACCCCAGTGACTTTGGCTTATATAAACAGTAGTTAAGTAACTAAAATGAATCTTCCTAACCTTGACAGTACTAAAGAAAGTAAACTTTTAGTTTTCTCTGTAATTTCAACAGAAATCAGCAAATAAATATAACCAAAGATTGTCCATTACTCTCAAAATAGATGTTATTTATATTAATACTTGCCCATTTCCATCACCGTGGGAATTAAAACATTTCTACTAGGACTTAAAAAAAATCCATATTTCTACTATTTCAGACCGCTATAGCAATTCAATTCTTTTGGGAATTTAGAACATGAAAAAGCTTTTAATGCCTTCACCCTCTTTAAATGCTTTTCAGGCAATAACAGCAATGTGGAATTCACTTACTTGGAATGGAAGTAAAGGGATGATCATGATGTCCTAGAAGGTGGGATTACCAGTAAGGCTTCCCGTGTTTGATTAGTTCTGTTGGCTCTACATCAGTTTTCCAAGGAGCCGAGCAAGATCGTTTTTCCTATTGGAAGCCTTAGCTATACATTCGTATATCAATGTTGTATCATTGCACCTTGCTAACCCTGGTCTGAATGCACGAGTTATAAATTCCTCAAAAGCCTAAATTTAACCCAGGATCAGAGTAAGGTCATCTCTAATATTTAAACATCATAGATAGGCCCAGGACTGTGCAATGAATAAGCCTGTCATGAAGGAAATTCATTAAAAAAAAGATACATATGAATAAGGTAAAAGCCAGCAAAGTCATGATACTGTTACTGAGAATAATGAAAAACACACTTAAGAAAATATTAATATGTAAATATGTACATATATAGTCTAGTAAAAGCAGACAAACACATATCTTTCTGATAAAGACATCTCCTTTTTATTCTACTTAACCTGGGGCCCAGGTCAGCATAAATTGGTCAACCTGAAAATTTCAGTAGTCTCTGTTTGCATGGCAGAAATTCTGCACATGTTTTGTCTGAGTCTTATGAAAACTTAAAAGGCTCTTTTATGTTAAAAGAGAGGTGAAGCTTCTTTGACAGACTTTGTCTATTCCACTTCTAACTGGGCCTCTCTTTTCTCAGGATCTATCCTAGCCAAATCTCTCAGTTACATTTACCATACCGTTTCCTTCATGAAAGAGCAGTAGGGGAGGAAATAATTCTCTGCTGTGTATTGTATTTTTCAAATAAAATTTTAAAAAATTAAATTTAAAAAGTCAATTTTCATTTTTCCCCATGCGCTGGTCTGTGTGGGGAGTGAAGGAATAATGAACACTTGTTCACACGTGTGAAAGGCAGAATTCTCAGAGTGTCGGAAGAATGCTTGGGAATAGATCGCAGTGGGGCAGATTAGCCCAGTTCTTTGTTTGGGCAGCTTAATGGCCCTGGATCCCTTGGGCCATCCTGGGATCTTACCGATATTCTTATTTCCAAATCACAGCACCCAGAAAACTATTTGGGACACTGACCATATATATGGACCGCTATATAATCTGCCTCCTGTGTATGAGCAAAGCACAGAAGAATGGATATAAATTATCTTGTTCCTGCCTTTAGGGCACCATGCATTAAATTTTGGTTGCGTGAAAAGTTGCCCTGGAAATATACCAAATGATTCTATATATGTCTTGTGATTTTCTCACAATTTTCCAGGCATGGATTTTCTAATGAAATGTAAATTATGATTCCTTTAAAATATTAAAGGAAATTTCCTCCAAACTCTAAGTGAATGAATGTCTTTTAAGAAGAGAAATAAGAATATCTAAATTCTTCTTTCATGTCCCCTTCACTTTAGATTATACCTGATTCTTAGTCTAATAGAACCTTAGGACATTGGTCAACATTTAATAAAATGTCTGATCTCCCCACTCTGTCTTATGAACTTGCTGAAGCTTTTGTTTAGAGATAAACTTCCTAGGTCTTCTACTATAGGCAATAGTAAAGGAAGAGGACATAGTTTTAAAACAGAATTAAAATAGGAAAAAATAACCCTTTAGGCCAAAAAAAAAATAAGAAAATAACTGAAGTGTAAGACCAGGGTATGATACATTAATTACATATATGTATGTGTGCTGTATGTGTGCATAGGTGTATATGTGCATACTTGCTTTGTGTGGCTCTGATTTTCAAAAATTCAATTTACCAAGGTTTACTTAAATAACACTACTCTCTCAACAAAAGGGTTCAAATTTTAGTTATTGGTATAATAACTGTGAGTAGCTGCATAACGTGCAAACTTTGCTGTCAGCTCTTCAGTCCACAAGTCACTGGATAAATAACACATGCACATACGGTCAGTAACCAGTCACGTCACTTCTCTCAGAGGCTGCCAGTGACCGGTCACTGCACATTTATTATTCTCTTCATACTCAGCAAAGCATGCAGTTACATTGACTTCTTGTTTCCCAGTAACAAATTCACATGACTTTTTTTTAAAAAAAATGCAAAATTTAAAGAGGATCTGGTCAAAACAAAATGGAACAGCAGCAAATAAAAAAAGGTGATAATACCGAAAATGAAATTTGAATTGAACATAGGGTTATAGAAGACATAGCTGACCTTGAAAATGCTGACACTGCCATCACCATCTGAGATACTCTAGAAATGCAACCAGAAAAACTTAGCAAAAGTGAGCGTATTGATACAAAGGAGGGAAAAGGTGATGACAAAGATGAAGATGTCCTAGAGGAAGTGATTCCGACAAAAAAAATTTCACATTAAAAGAACTCTTGGAAATATTTCACAACACTGAAAGTGCAAAGGATAAAATATTACTAACTGATCCAAACTTAGAAAGGAATATGACAATTAGCCAGAGCATAAGAAAAGATGCTCACCCCATATCCTAAGTTACATGACAAGAAGGCGACAGAAAACATTGTTCAAACCTGGCTTGGCTTGGACTGCTATGACAAAACACCACAGACTGAGTGGCTTGGAATACAGTCAAGCATTGCTTTAATGACAGGGACATATTCTGAGAAATGCGTTGTTAGGTGATTTTGTCAATGTATGAACATCATAGAGTGTACTTACACAAACCTAGATAGTATAGCCTACTACACGCCTAGGCTACATGGTATACCTCACTGCTCCTAGGCCACAAACCTATAAAGCTTGTTATTGTACTGAATACTGTAGATAATTGTAACACAATGGTAAGGATTTGTGCATCCAAACACAGAAAAGTTCCAGTAAAAATATGGTCTTATGACCTATGGGACCAGAATCCTCAGATATGCAGTCTGTCATCGACCAGAACATTGGTATGCAGTGCATGATTGATGAGTTCTCACAGTTCTGGAGGCTAGGAAGCCTGAAATCAGGGTGCCGGCTAGCATGGTCGGGTTCTAGTGAGTGCCCTCTTGCTGGCAGACATGCAGGTGCCTTCTGGATGTGTACATACATGGTGGAGAGAAAGAAAGCACACTCAGGTCTTTTCCTTTACTTATAAAGCCACTAATCCCACCATGAGGGCCCCACCCTCAAGGCCTAAACCTAATTACTTCCCAAAGGCCCCACCTCCAAATATCACATTGGAGGTTAAATCATCAACATATAAAATATGCAGGGCACACAAATGTTCAGTCCATAATGAAACTACTCGATAAAATTTTTACAAAGAAATAAAACATTTAATTCTCAAATATTTCTATTTTAAATTACAGGATATGAAATAAATATTAGCTTAGCTATTTCTTCATTTTTCTATACATTTCAAACTGTCCATAAGAGAGTTTTTAATGTTTGGACAAAAAATGTTTAAAAGTAACAGATTAACTGTAATTTTTCCCATTGCTTATTAAGATCAGTTGGCATAGTTTCAGATTGCATGGTCATTTTTTTGATCCCACAGTACTGTATGAAGTGAGGACTGCCTGCTTATATTTATATATAGGAATGTTTATATACACACACACATACATACCCCTGTATATGTATAAAACCCCATGTAAGATTTCTTTTTTAAAAGTAATTTTGTTGACACTTTCTATAATACAGAGAAATAAGAAATAATGACTGTCAATTATTAGATTTATTTTTATTGTGATTATTTAGTCACTTATCTTTCTATGGCCAAATTAAAAATTATTGGTCATATCAAAGGATAGAAAGTATTTGTATTAGAGTGTCAACTCAGCTATTCAGAGTACTCATTGGAAGGAGAGGAAGAGGGATCTGGAAAAGTGGTTTTTTTCCCCCCAATTTTTTGAGCTTGAGATTTTAAGCAATCTTATAAAATTATATTGCTCACATTCTAACTTAGTACATAAATATATCCACCAAGCATTCTGAACATGAATTATTTTTTGGTGATTAAGTAAAGCTCTTGAGAATTATAAAGAGCTATATAGGGGAGTTTATTCCCTTAATATAAAGAATCTCAGAAGCTATGATTGTTTACCTGTTTTTTTTTTTTTCCTATTCACGTTTTTTATGGCTTTCTCTGCCCTCTGTTGTTAATTCTCATTTTTTCTTGCTTGAAAACTCTCCTAGAAACTTTCTCACCTACTTCCGGTCTGCTATTGTATTTGCCAACTCAGGCTACCATAAGAGAATACCACAGACTGAGTGGCTTAAACAACAAATTTATTTCTCTCAGTTACGGAGACTGGGAGTCCAAGATCAAGGTGCCAGCAGGGTTGGTGTCTCGTGAGGGCTTTCTCCTTGAGTTGCAAACATCTGCCTTGTCCTACCTTGTTCAGGCGCAAATGGAGAGAGTGACAGGGTGCCGGAGGCAAGGGGTGGGGAGGAGAGGAGAGGAGAAGACCGGACATATCTCTGTGGTGTCTCTTCCTCTTTTTATAAGGAAGCCAGTTCCACAGGATTAGGGCTCCACCTTATGACCTCATCTAACCTTAATCGCCTCCGTAAAGGCCCAATTTCCAAACACAGTTACATTGGGGATTAGGGCTTCAACATATGAAATTGGGTGGGGGAACACAATTCAGTCCATAACAGTTATCCACTGCTTAAATTCCATCTCCTACAGTTATGTCCTGGAGAAGAACTAAACGATGTCAATGTAACACAGACAACCTGGTGTTATCATTAATGCATGTAAAATTAAGTCAATTAGACTGAAGTGTATTCTACTTTTCTCTTATAAAATAAAATGCTTGGTCTTTGTAATAGATGTTTTCCCTGCTGTTACTCTGACTTATCTGCTCCACTTCTGATTTCAGATGGTTCTCTATGATTCAAATTAAGGTCATATGATCATCAAAAGTGGGGCCATTATTATATATTTGTTGTAAGTATATCTTGAAGTAGGGTTATTTTTTTTCTCACTACTAAAAGTAAAAAAGTGAAACATGAGATTTTTGAAGCATAATCTGCAAGAGCCCAAATAGATGTCAAATAATAATATCTGCTCTCTTACAGAATTATTTCAGCATGTGGTTCAATGCTAAAACAGTTTTATAATATTATAAATGAAATTTAAACCTTCGGGGTCCTAAATTGCAATGATTAAAAGTGAAACTTCAATGCTTAGGAAAAGTTCAAGCTCCTTAGCTAGCTTGCTTTATTTATGATTAAGTGCTTTGCATTACAGGAGAACAACTTGTATATTATATTAGATGAGTCTAATGATATGAACTAGGTATTTTTAAATGGGAAATTCATAGGACATATGGTGACAGCCTCTGGGATCAGATCCATATCATTTCAGATGCCTTTATATTTATTCTGAATACTTGGTTCTAATCTTGAAATGCTGGAGATATATACACATAACAGCTGGGCCAACATCAATTGAAACTCTAACACTGTTCATTTTAAAAATATATATTTTAAAAAATAACATTGCTATTTTTCAGCTCCCATTTATTTTTCTTATTTATTTATCTTTCTAATTCAATGAATTTCCAGAAACATTGTAAGGATAACAGAAACAATACCAAGCTAAACACTTGAATCCAGGTGAATCTAGATGCTGTCACAGAATTGCTCATACTATTTATATTCTGATATAAACTCATGTTATTTATTTTTAAACTTTGGTAGGTATATATAAAATTTCATTCTGGGTAATAGACGAAGCAAGCACTTTGATTCCTATTGCCATACGTTGAATGTATTCCCCCAAAATTCTTATGTTTAAAGTCTTAGCCCTCAGTACCTCAGAATACCACCTTATTTGGAAATAGAGTAGTTGCAGATATAATTAGTTAAGATGAGATCATGTCATAATAGGGTAGGCTTTAATCCCA